TACTTTTAGAATACTGATGGAATGATATAGGACTTAATAGGTAGGATGGAAACAAAGGTGTAACCAAAACTGACGGGAGTTCCCAAATTTTCAGGATTTTTCTTTCATTAGATCTCTCTTCTATGAGCAAGTTTTGATTAACCCTTCAGGACGAAATTTCTAGCTACCCAACTCAGAATTGACACTACTCGGAGGGATATTCAACCTGAAATGTGCAAAACCAGCGTTTTCAAATCCTTGAAAATGGATTTCAAAATCAAGCGCTCTTCCTGTATTTTTGAAGGCCGCACAAATCATATTTTTACAGAATCCTAGCAATTGAATTTTGGTCTCCATACTTTAGTTTGTAAAATACAAATTGGACATTTCGAATTATTCGTATAACTCAACAGAGACAGTCTTAAGAGTAGATAAACATGAAGTGTATCATTAAAGTAAAAGGTCAATTCAAATATATGTAGCTAATTTCTATTAATGTTGTCTGATAATATGACGAAAATCCACTATTATTTAAAAATGTAACATTTTCGGTTAGAGTGCAGGACTGCCTCACTTCTGATAATCTGCTGGCAGAATGAGTCAATTGCAGAATATTTTTTTATTAGCTTTTTTCGAGATCAGTATAAACAGCAAAAACTTCATGCTTGTAGTAAAATCAACATTATATCAAAATCTGAGATGATCTGAAGGTGGAATGATAAAAATTCATAGATCCTAAATGCAAACGGAACGTACAATTCCAATGAAAATAAAAATAAAAAAAAAACCGAGAGATAAAATTTTCAGACTATTTTCTAACAAGACAATTCTTCAGATTAGAAACAAGAAAAATTTTGTGAAATAAATCGTCCATAGTCACGGTTAACAAGCGGGAAACAAACAACAATTTTTAACTTTGGAGCAGCTTTCGGCTGAGTTTTTGGGTCAAACAAATCTTTTGATTCGATCGAACCGTAAGAAATACAATCTTCGACTTCATAAAAATAAAATGGTCGATTATTACAGATACAAACATAATAGAAATATTCCAAAGGCTATGGGAAGCTCATTAAATTGAAAAGCTTTGCAGAGGGGTAAATAAGAGTTCATCAAAATATGATCTGATTCCGAATGAAAAAATAGTACGTCTTTATACAAGGCCTTTCTCAAACATGACAGTAGCAGATAAAATATACAATGATAAAATATTAATTTGTTCTGCAATTTCAAATTCTGGAGAAAATTTAAGAAAATAGATTTATCATAAAACTTAAAATTTTAAAGACCACGGTAATACAGGTATTGCTTTGCAGAAGGTACTCATCCTTACATTGAGCCCAAGATATTTGGTGCATAAAATTGTCATACAGCCTAAAACTTGACAGGTTATAACTCCTTGTCCTGAACCATAAAATAAACAGAGCAGCTAGACTGCCATGAGATAACATGATTAATTAAACATCTGACAAAGGAAAAAAAGCAACTGAATATATACATCATTTGATGGACAGGAAAGGAAGAAAATAGTAAAAGGGTATTCTATCATAACACAGTTTACAGCCATCACATATAATCTTTTCTTACTTAGAGTATATTTACAGGGCACGATTAAAGATCGAAACATTTATCAAATCTTTTTAAACTAATGAAAAGAGATCACAAACAAAAAGTGATTTATACATGCACATTTTATTTTTGCGTATCTTCAGTGCAGCGTAGCTTTCTGCTTTCCCAACACAAAGAATCTCGTAGAAATTAATGAACACCTGAGACTCAACTGGACATAGGCTGAAGACTTTTCTACATGAATTTTTCATTTTTAAACACGAATATTTTCTTTCCGTAACAGCCCCCGAACAAAAACGAAGAAAAACTCCTCCCAAAGTAAAAAATCTAAAATTTAACCCTTCCAGACTCACTTCAGACATGACCGAGTTAGTCACTGCATTAGTCATCGGATCAAGGTTGCTGTGATTCAATCTGGGTATGAAAAATCGTCAACTTTGCCTGGCGTCAATAAAGCCAGCACTTGTCCAATGAGTCTTGGTCTTCCGTTTTAAAAATTACTATTTTGCAAAAGTCTGCGTCTTTCTAAATTAAACAGTGAAATGATCCTGCTCTGAAAATGAACAACTATTAGATACAGTCAAACCCCACTGAGTCAAAATGCATTGAGATTATGGATTTATTTCACTTAGTGGAGCTCCAGAATCAACAAACTTACTATTATTCCATTTTGCACTTTAAATTTCCCGCCAAAATCTGTCAAAATTACTACATACCATGATGACTCGTCTACCGACCGCTGCTGGCACCATAGGAACAACAGGGCTACTCAGGAAGAAATGGTGCTGAGTGAGGAATTCATATTGTTCCTATAAGTATGAGGCCTCCTCAAGACTTATGACATACAAAGAAGCTGACTTATGCAAACTTTGTTGTCATCGCGTAAATAGGTGAAAAATAGGACAGGGAATTTTCATGTATTAGTACGGTTTCTGACATAAACAAGTTCTGACTTAGTGAGATTTGACTGCATTGAGCAAAGTTTGCTAAAGGAAGGAGTTATCTTTTAACTTAAAAAAAAAAAAAAAAAAAAAAAAAAAAAAAATACAGGAGCAATATGTTGTGAGCTGTTCATTTCTCAAAAAAATACTTTTGAAAAGCCTGTAGTCAAAAGTAACTGAACACCAAAGAGAGAATTCAAGAGAATGCAAGAATCACCTTTCAATTTTACCAATTGAATGGGATACTTCATCTTCAGTCACTTTTGGCTTGAAATTACGGTTTCAGAGGTAAATTTTGTAAAAATAGACACCTAGAACAAGCTTCTGTACTATTTCTTGTTAGTGATTGAAGGCTAAATTAATAAGTTGTCAAAATCTGTTTCATATCTTGTAGAATTTCATGTCAATTATAAGTGTTCAAATTTTTGAGGTAGCAATGGGTCAGTTGCGCTAGTCACAGAATCGTGTTTTGGTGATATCAGATTAAACGTCAGCAAAAAATAACAAGATCCATCCAAATATCAACTTTTCATGTCCTGTATTAATAGAAATGCTCCCCTTATAAAAGAAAAAAAAAGAAAAAAAGAAGAAGAAAAAAAAAAACCCGGCGTATGACATCATCCACTGCATGCCACGATCCTTCAATTTTTTTTAAAAATTCATGATGCATGAAAAGAGGAGCAATCAGTGCTAATATGTGTATCACTTATTGATGAATCACAGGTGTAAAAACTATGGATGCATATGCTACCACAGTGTATGAAGTCGTACACTGTGTTTTTTCAAAAGATGATATCTTCGTTAGTATTGAATGTAGTCCTGGTCAGGCATTCAAATTGATTTTATTATTTCTTGCTAACCTACAGGTTTAAATCAGAAAAACGCAATTCAAGGACTTGAACAACTGATCAGCTACACACAGAGACAAGTGCTGAAAATTCTGAGCATAAGATAAGTGAACTTAAGACACTGAAAAACAGTGACTACTAAGCATGCAAAAGTTTTATCCAGTCAGTATAGAAAAATGACTGGTTATCCAGTTCAACTCTAATAGCAAGTCATTGAAGTTTCGAGTAACTTTGAATACCAACATAGATTTTAGAACAGATCATTTTAAGGAGAATCAAAAACTAATAAATAGCAACTGTGTCTGCTATGTTACTGAAATTTGGTAAGTTTAAAAGAGATCGACATATTGTCCGTTGGGAAAGCCATATTAGCTACCTAATTGATAATAATTTTACCACACTTGAGAGGCCTAGAAATTATCGAAAAATCTGTTCAAATTCAACGAGGAAACATTCTATGACCAGATTTTGCTGCATTAAATCTAGCGCCATATTAGCAGACTCCTGAGCTGGCCACATGAGCGTTGGTCCAAAAACGATGGCTAGATTTGGGATGTGCATGCGATTGAATTCTTTGTACTTGGTAACTCTGAAAATAAGAAAACGGTTATAATAAGTCATTAGATATCAAGCTCAAGCATTCAATAAATATTGCTGCCAATTGGATATTTTGTGGCTCATACAAGAAAGCACCTACTTGCGCCAACCACACAAATGTTGTTTCTAAAAATAGCTTAGTGGTTCTTTGTTGCAAAATATGATCTGATAGAAAAATTCCAAATTCAACTTATACACGAGTTATTAACATTTTCCACAGTCTTATATTTTCACATTCTGCTTGTCAAGAAAACCATAATCTACTAGAGTCAAATCAGACTCTAAATTTATTCCATTGTGTCTCGCAATCAAATAATTTTTTCTGTGCGCATACTTATTCTTGAAAAGTTCACACTCACTGAAAGTTTACAGTTGTTATGTATTGAGAGATGCAGGATACAAAAGGGCTATTCGGGTAGAGGAAAGATATTATCTAGCTATTTGCTTTTATAGCTACTAGCTGCTGCTAAAGAGTTTACATACGATGATAATTTTGACCTAAATTGATTTTGGTTTTTTTTGTGAGCAGGGGGTGTAAATTTACCAATTTTCATGTAAAATGCAAATGCTAGTTCCTCGCCCATGAGTAAATTTTGGATTCTGAACAAGAAATTTTGATTTAAAAAAATACTTTTAGTACTTTAATTTACCCTCTTCAGAGATCCATCACCTTTTCCTCAACTAATTTTTCAAAAATTGTTCATTTATTTAAATTCATAAATTTTTCGGAATTGAAATTTTATTTTTCTACTATGTCTTGATATAAAACATTGTTTAGTTTTAAACTTAGACCGAAATTTTCCATGCTAACAATGGGACCAAATAATAACTGGATTAGATTTTTGGCATGTGCCTAGGCGTAAGTCACAAGGACATTTGAAAATGGTCAATTTTGCCTGGGTGAACTATTGAATAGATTTCTCTGGGACTCCAATTGAATTTAGTTGGTCACTGAAGAAAAATACTCCATGCTTTCTCTCTTAAAAAATTTCCTCTGTCGCTTGTTCACACAAAAATAAAGTATCCTTGGCAGTTTCGAAACTTTGCAATGGACTATCGTTTATGTGAAAAGAATCGATTCAATTGATTTTGGTTGAAAATTTTAAAATAAGAGTTCGTCTTACCTTAGTAAATGCTGCAATAAAAACTTAAGTGTATCATGATTAGCTGTAGGTAATGCTTTGGTAATTTCACGGAAACAGTTCAGTTTCTCTTTTCTGCTGTGACTTGCTGTAAAAAAATAGAATGAGACACACTTAAAGGCTTGCAAAAAAGAAGATCGAAAAGTAAATAGACGAAAATTGATAAAAACCTAGGGGAAAAAAACTAAAGTGACCATCACACACCCGCCTTTGACACCATTTTACCCTTTAAAATTGACAAAATAAAAAAAAAAATAAAAAACGTTCCTGTACTTACAATTTCAGAGTTTTCACTTATTAATCTAGAGACCTTCCCTGACATTTTCATGGAGAAAAATTACAATTGGTCTTCAGATAAATTCGTTTTTGGTAAAATGAGCAGTGGGAAGCAAATTATAAATTATTGACAAACCTAAAAAACATTTATTTGTTGAGTAATGTAATCTTTCTATCTTTGACTCTCCCAGACACTATTCATCTTGGAAAGAATTTTAATACATTCCTCTTAACAATTTCAATGCAAGGTCTAAATTTTTAGCATTTCACAGTCAATGGAATAATTTCACTCTGGTGAAGTAATACTTGTTGGGGGGAAAACCTACGGCTTAAATTGCATAAATCACATATTTTAAAGTTGAACAAATTTCACATGATGCAGTCCAGATAGAAAAAACTTGAAAACTTGACTCTATTGATAGGATTCTCTATTTCATTTTCTGACCCTTTCATGCTTTCTTTCAGACCCCTCCCCTTTCTGATAAGTTATATAGGATCAAACTTACTGCTAGCTTTCAAAGCTTTATTGAAGAGGTGACACGGGATCAACGGCTCCTTCAGTTCGCGGAAGAAGAGCTTAAGGGCGCCAGTCAAAACGTGCACATCCTCTTCTTGGTCCAAGACTGCCAGATTGTTTTGGTCGACCTGGAGGCGAATTTTCTGAACCTGTGACAGGTTCCCGGATGCACGGTATAGGCCATCAGCCTTCATGTTCTCCTCGGACGATTCAATGCATTTGATGCATCGCTGAACGACTAGCGGGACGCGAGGCGACTCTCCAGAACAGACCTGCTCCAGGAAACACCCGAAGACCGGCTCATCTGTAACATTTTCCGCCATTATGAAGACACTCTTTGAAAATCCAGTAAGCGATCGAAAGAATTTAAACTATCAAAATACTAGAGGCCATCGCAACACAAAAAAGACTTAAAATTTCGGATATAGTTAAAAACGAACAAAGAAACAGAAACGTTTTTATTAACTTGAACTGATACAGGGTGAATGGAGAATGCACAGTGTGTAACTGTTCGTTCTAAGCTCCAAAGCTGATAATGAACTGACTTTAGTTTTGAGCAAAAGCAGTTGGAGGTTAATTTTGTAAATGATACGACCATTACTGAGATAATGGCCCCCATTAGTGATGAGAACTTGAGAAAAAGCTCAGAAAATATTCCACTGTTGACAGAGCAGTTATTCCTGATTAATTATGGTCTAATCATAGAGGGGAGAAGAAAAGAAGGGTCATTGACCATGCACAAGTGTTTGGTTACAAATTATGAGACAATGAAGCTGTTACAGATGTTCCTCCAGTTGAGATTGGGACCAAAGAAGAACTTTTATAAATGTTGGAATTTTCTCCTGATTTTTTAGAGGAGAAATTAGAAGAGATCTTTTGAGTGCAGTGATGTCCCAAACATCAGTTTTAAAAGACTTTTATGTCACCAAGGAAAAGAGAGTTATTGTGCTCTGGAGAACAACAAAATACAATTAGTTCATACAGAAACTAGACACACTTGTCTTCAATGTGACGATAAAAAATATTTGCTCTCTGACAAAATAATGGTGAGAAAACTTTAATGTTCGTCTCGAAAAACAGCTATGAGACTCTTTCCTACAACAGGTGCATGATCCGTCTCCTTTGTGCATAATTTTAATAAATAATAAGGAAAGAAGAAGAAGTGAACACATTACAATATTAAAATTACAATAGAATGAAAGAGACAATTGCTTAGAATCACGTGGTGTGCGTCTAAAATGTTTGAAAGATGAAAACAAGTTTTGAGGAATTTGAAGTTTACCTTTCCAGATTCCTTTTTTGACTAGGGATTCCATAGTTGGTCTTCGGTGGAAGAATTTCTTCAGTCTCGCTCGGATTTTTGTCTGTCTTTCTGCTACACTAATCGTTAAATCTTCTATACTGCCATCTTTATTTTTCACTGGATTGAAATAAAGAAGAATCAGAAACTTCAACCAAAATTAGAAAGAGACAGAAAAGAGAGGAGAAAAGTTTCAGGAACATTAAATTTTCTGGTTGTAGGACTGTGGAGAAAATTTTCCAGTTACAATGTATGTTAAGGTGCGTCCTTAAGTTGGACAAAGTATTTGGAGTATAATGCATGAAATATAGATTCAAGGTACAGGGGTGAATGAATACACTTCTGAATAATAATGGAAATTTAGTCTCTGTGTAAGTCATCAGAGAATGTTTGTACAAGAAATCATCTCTAGTAGCATTGATTGTTTTTTTGCTTTTAAACAAACCCCAAAATATTGTTAAAATGTTCAAGTGGACCACTAAACGAGGTACGAATTTCAGCAAACTGATACAAATTTCCTCTTCAAAATTTTACGTAAAAGAAGACTCCCGCAACGGAATAACAGATGTTAACTCCAAACTCAGATAATAACATTCTTATTCTGCATCAGTTATAAAAAATTTGGATTTCCCACTCACAAGATAGGCAAAAGTCTACTTGAATCAAAGCGCACACTACAACGGTTTTGATGGGCTTCTCAATCGATCCATGATCCTTCCCCAAAAAACAACGTTTAAAAGCTAAGCTGAAGCACCGAGATTGACGTTGTCATATTTTCATACCCGGAGACTGTCACGGTAACGTTTAATGTGCTATTTAACTCAAGTAGATCACTATTTTTTTCAATGATAAGACAAGGAAGTTTGAGCTGATGCATAAAAAAATGTTAATATGTACCTTGGTTAGGAGCTACTTTCATTAATTATTTTCGTTGTTAAGTGGTCCATTTTCCCTAAAACGTTATCTATATTCTCAGGTTCTCCTTACTTTTTATGTTTTTAATGCCCTATTTAATACACGGTCAAAGGCAAGGTTTTTGATTCTCATACAATTTGAAAGATCTAAAATATTGACTGTGCTTAAGCGGAGAGCATCACTTACATTTGACTGATTTTGAGCGGCCTATTTTTGCTTTCTTGCCACCTTCAGGAGAGTTGCATTCCGGAGATGTTGAGTTCCTGATAAGTCTTGAGCAGTTATCAAATCCAGAAGGCTGAGAAACAATGCAAATGGCGATTAGGAGATTTAAAAATCTAAAGGGAGAACATCTGAATCACTTTCACATTATTTGAGCTTCATTTTCTATATCATTGACCTTTTTTTGGAAAATTTTGTAAAACCTAAAGGTGACCTGAGTTTTTAAGTCACTCCAGCACTCAACAAATAATTTTGTCGAGACTTTTGTGACTGTGTACTTTTTTGTGCACTTCTTGAAGGACCTTCAGACTGTTTGCAAATACGCATACCTATCATCGGAGAATCGAGGGATTTTTGAACATTGAACGTATTTTGTAATAAGGATTTTCTTTAGACTGGAACATGACTTTGTTTTTGAGACAGATCCAGAAACTTTTGTTATTAAGTTTTAAGATGCGACATTATTCACACTGAATATTTAGGATGAATAAAAGAAAGTTACCAAATTTTTAATTGCTGACTGTATGGCATTGAGCCAACTACTTGCAGTTGCCGTGCAGTCGCATTGGATCAACACTTGAAGACCTAATACTGTGCTTATAATGAAAACATTTTTTCGACTGGATACTTTATCGCCTCGGTCGATCAGCGCACCGTTTAAATCAACACAGAGCTCTGGTTTCCAGCCACCATTTTTCTGAAAAAAAAAGAAAAAATGAAATAGTATTACTTGCGACCATCAGTAAATCAAAATTCTGCCAGCAAATTTTGGGCTCTAAACTACAGTCTACAGAATGAATAAGGTGTACACCAAGAAACGTGCATAAGATGAGCATAAAAACCTTAGGATAGCCTCATGAGCTAGGTATTAAAATTTAAACATCTTACTATAATATAAAATCATAAGCCCTAAAATTGTCGAGATCTGTTCCGCGCTGTCTTGAAGTTACCGTTAGGGCGAGAGTGTGGAAATTTTACGGAGTGTGTGTTGCCAAATTTGATACCAATTGAAGGTGCAGTCCAGATGCTCAAAGATTGATTGAACTTCCACTAAACTAATTCAACAAATCAGATTTGACTCAGATGAAATTACTTTTATAAAAAGGTATCACGATGAAGTTTCTACCTTCTGGACTGGGCGTAATGAAATCACAAGCACTTGTGTCCACCAAAAATTAGAGGCACATTTATCTATCCATACATCAGCGATTACAATAGGTACAATATTTTAACAATGGTGCTTTGAGCAATGAAAGTAAATGACTTGAAACATTCAAAATTAACTGAAAAACAATGCAAACTCACCATGGCAGCAAAAGATTTAGCGTCTTTAAAGAAAAGGAGAAACAATTCGGTTAGGACTACGTAAGCAGAGGCCCAATTTTTCCTCAATCGTTTACCATTTTCTGTTATTTTGGTACGGTTTAAGGAACCTTCTTGCAGAATACACTGAAAATAAAGCACATCAAGAGATCAGATATAGCAGTCTATTCCATTCCTTCTTCAAGGGTAGAAATTAGGTAAGGATATTCACTACTTGCAATCTGGGTGTCGGGGTCGGGTGCGATTGGTCTAGATTGTGAGGATCATAGTAGGTTCATCTTCATACTCAGAAGAATAATCTGTTGAGAAAGTTAATTGTTGTTGCTGTTATAGTTGCTGCTGTTATGTTTTTGCTTGACAAGTTTGATGACATGAACCCACAGATCCCACCCATTGGAAACTCATTTGGAAACCAATGAATACTTGAAAAAGAGCGATTCATGGAAGCATTTTGTTTTTACTTCGTCTCCTTTAGAACTATGCCTGTTAACTTAAATTGTATGATCTATTATCACAGCTACAACTATTGTCTTTCATTTTTAATGATTACAATGGCACTCCCATTGTATATTTCTTCAGCACCATTATTCTTTCACTATGATGGTATGTTGGGTATGCCAGTGAACTCTGGTGGTTGAATTAGGAACAACTGCCTCAGTTCTTTCCTTCATTAGAGAACATGAATATTCTGGAAGTTATATCATGTTATTTCAAATAAGATGTGTGTCATTCCCTGTAGAATAGCTTGAGGGAAGTTCTCATTATTGATGTCAACAATTATTCCAACATTAAATATTCGGAAGGCAGTATAATGAATTCCTGACTAATTTAAATTCTGTTGACAGTCTCCTATTTTACAAGACTCATAACTTTTAAAATTGTTTTTGCTTGTAGTTATCACACCAAAAAAGGTTCTTAAGAAATTATGGTGAAAAAAGGATTTATACTAACCATGTGGCCATTCCATAGCTGAGGCCAATTCCTAGACATGGGTGTTAACTCCTCTAGTCTGAAAAAAGCAACAATGATTCATGTTATAGACTCAACATAGTACTTTTTAAACCAAAGCACAAATACAATTTAGTACTTATGTACAAAAAAAAAAAAAAAAAAAAAAAAAAAATCGTCCAAAAATGTCCAATACTTTCTTTGCTTCCTCAATCATAGCCTTTGAGAAATTAAGTAAGTGAGGTATGATTCTTAAGAGACTGAGATATTAATAATTATGAAAAAACTTGTTTCAAAGTAAACTGATTGAGAATAAAGCCCTCTGGTGCTTGAACTTCAGCTCTGTAATCAGTTTAACTGTTTCATCCGCCGCAAGATTCTATTCATAAAATAAGATAGAATGTTTTTTAAACTCCACCTAAAGTTTTCACAAATTTTGAAATTGTTACTTGCCACTTTTATCCAACAGCTTTTTGAATTGTAATTATCACATAAATTCACAATTTAAATTATTTCCCCCTTGAATTCTGTCTTGTAACTTTTGTTCTTGGATAGTTATAAGTATATTCTTTTCAAGGTATTCTGTCGACAACTGTTTCAACAACAGAAAAGAATGCATAACTCAAAAGCTATTTAAAGCAGGATTGAAATAATTTGGATTTTGTGGCATTTTTTTCTTGATACATTAGTGATGAGCGCACGAATTTGTGAACTGTCATTTACAAGCTGTAAGTTAGTGCAGATTTGTAGCTTGTTGATGGAAGTTCATTGCAAATGCATTACCATCAGTTTAAAGGAGGAACTGGAAAAAGGGGCACAAGAAATGTTTTCTATCTGAATTTTTATCCCTTGCTAATAATTTACTACACTAGTACTTAATCAGTGTAAGAAAAGAGTTTAAGAGCTGAGTCATGGAAAATTATAAGCATACTTGGAATCTAGTAGAATCATTGATCTGGACTTGATAGATCTACTCAAGTTTTTTTCCTCAGGCGCTCCATCCACTTTACCAGACTTGACAGGTGGCTCATGTGCAGGCGATTGGTCTTGAGTACTCTCTTTTTCATTTCCTGTTGACTGGAAGGACACAAAAAAGGAACATCAAAAGAGGAAACTGATTTAAAACAAAGTGACGTACAGTGATTCCGTACAGGAACAAGCTGCTGTCACAAAGTTTGGTGGTAACATTAAGTAGATTAGCAAACAGTTATAAGATCAGTCCTGATATTAATCTTTTACGTTCAATATGATAGAGATATCGCCCTTCAAAAAAATGTTCATGGATATCACTCAATGATGCACACGACAACTTGTACTTATGGAATGAAGCCATATTATAAGTGACAGTATACAGGAGTGCAAAAAATGCCCGATCTTGTGATCTGCAAATTGTGGAAAACATGAAGCAATTAATAGGTCAAAAGGCAATTTTCAAAAGTTGTGACCATCCTTTTTGCTTTTCCTCTGTAAAATAATGGGAAAAAGCTGACATTTTGCTGTGGAATTGGGCAGTTTGCTATTAATTTGGCCATTGCTCTTTGAAGCAAATTGGAAATTCAGCCGCGAGACAAGAGCGCAAGATCACAAGATCGCAATAACTTTTGGCACCCCTGATTTCAGGACTGGAATAACTTTTTCATCATTCGAACCTAATGGACCACTACACAAGGTACGAATTTAAGCAATCTGATACACGTTTCCTAACCAGAATTTCACGTAGAAGACGACTCGCGCAACGAAAATTACTGAAACCAACTCCTAACGAAGATATTAACGTTTTTATTTCACATTGGTCACGAGGAAATTGAACTGCCCGCTCATAAAAAACTCAAAGCTCTACGTGAGTCAAATCGCGCTTTACAACGGCTTCGGCAAGCTTCTCAATCGAGCAATGTTCATTTCTCACCATGTGTTGTTTAAACTATAAGCAATTTGCTACAGCTGGGGCAAAGCGTCAAGATTGAGGTTGCCAGATTTTCATCTCGCACAGACTGTCACGATAACGTTAAGCGCTCGATGTGAATCACGTAGAGCATTGAGTTTTCGTGAGCGTGTGATTTAAATTCACGCATCAAGAATCATTAATTATCTTCGTAAGGAGTTGATTTCGGCAATTTTCGTTGTGCACATCGTGGTTTACGTGAAATTTTGGTTAAGAAACATGAATCAGAATGCTGAAATTCGTACCTTGTCTAGTGGTCCATTGGCTGGAAAAATCAGACTTGAAATTCGTATGGGAGCTGAAATTTTGATGTCAACGATTCTACTATCCTCAAATTATCATGAGAGCTTTGACTATAAAACACTGAAAAGTCACCAGCACTCTCTGGAACAACTCTTGTTCTGCTTTTTCTTAATTTATAGAAAATTCTCAAAGAGGTCTATTCTATTTTGGACGAGGAAACAGTAGCAAACACTTAAAAGACAACCTTAATTTAAGTTACAGTCTTCTGTATTTTAGTTTGTATTTTTCTTTGTATTTTTTTTCCTCCTTTCTCCACAAGGAAAATCTTCAGAGCTTTGAAATATTTTACAGCTAAGACTGCAAACTTCCAACAGGGAACATATTTTGGTCGGATTCTATGGAATGAACACTCCGCATCACAATGTGAAGCATATTATAATACAGCCGTGCTAAGGAGAAACGTTGTATGAACCTACAGACGTTGCCATATTTCCTTTAATAAAAACAAATTTAACAGGAAAATTCTGAATGTTTTTCTCCCAATTTTTTAGACAATTATGTTCGCAATTCAATTTAAAGTAAATGAAAATTTCAAGGAAAAATATGCAGAGCTTTCCTCGAAAATAATATTTTTTAGGAAAAATTTGGGAGCATTTGAATGGTCATACAGCGTTCTTCCTCAGCATATCAAAATAAGCAGATTGTTGATTCTGAGAGAGGGAGACAAGTGGATCACCAGGCAAACGTACTTCATTGGCGTTTGAAGGATCAGGATTCTCTGGCAATGTCCATGAAGACTCATTGCTGTTCTCCTCGAAGAAGTAGACTCGGCCCTCGTAATCATTTGATGAAAACCACTGAAACAAAACAAGATAAAATATAAATTACTCCACTAAAGATATTAAAAAATCTTTCATTCTAATCAGTAGGCCATCTATTGAACCATTGTCTTAGTTGTGGGTACTAAATAAGACTTGTAAGCTGAAAAAGAGAATTTGCAAGAAAAAATGTTATTGCTGTATCTGAAATTACACAATGAGTTACTTTCGCAATGTTTTTCATAATTTCTTTCTGATATGAGATATTGTAGGAAAATAGATTTAAAAGTGAGAAAATGTACCGCCTAGTGACGTCATCTGGCGCATTTCCCATTTAAACACATGTATTTCAGCAGATTCGGGTATTTCATCGTATCTCTTCGAGTACTTGTTCAATTTAAAACCAAGGATATTCTCGTGCTCGGTTCTCTTAGTGGTTTCATCTTAAACATCAAATTCACCAAATTTCTGACACCTGCAAATTCTCCATTAAGTTGTTCGATAGGTCGATCGATCGTATAACTCAATTTATTCATTGGGTCCGATTAGCGATTGGTTGTCTGTCCCCTAAGAAGATGCCTTCAGCATGAAATAAATGAAGGAGGGAAAAAGTTGGAATAAACAAGAAAAATTACAGAGAGCGTAGGGATGGGATCCCGAGAAAGTTATTATCTCGCTTTTCACCATGAAGAATAAAAATATCATACGACGCTGTCTTCGCGACATCACGTGGTCTGAAAAATATCTTAGAAGAACCTTGAGAAATTTCACTACAAAGGACTATTCTCCTCTGGACACCAAAGTACACACAATCACATAAAGCAATACATTTTCAGATTTTGCTTCCAAAAAACAGGGTTGCCACAGAATTTAGAAAATGAAATTCTCTGACATTTCCCTGACACATTTTAGTGAAATTCCCTGACAATGGAAGATGTGACGGATGGTTAAGAGGGCATAATTGAGAGTAGTTTTCAGGCAAAATTTGTTGTTCGAAATCTCAAACCCAAATGAAGGTGATTTAACAATTTTTCCCTGACATTTCCGTCGTTATCGACATTCCCCCCGACATTTCCCGGTTTTCCCTGACTGTGGCAACCCTGAAAAAAATACTGGAGATAGTAAGCGAATAGTGCAGTGAAAACGAAACTCTTGACACAAAAAGGAAAAAAAATTAGGTACCTCCGCCCTGTCGTGAATGACCCAATCCTCATCAGAGTCATCTAAGACGGACAAAAATATATCTCGCTGCCAGGCTATGATATCACTCGAAATGCTGACTTCCGACTCTGATTCTATCAACACAGTGTTATCCTCTGAAAAATTGTCAGCGCTGTACTCAGCGTTATTTTCAGACTGCGAGACCGAGTCTACCGAGTTCGGAACTACACTATCTTCTGAGCATATCCCATTTGAAGTGCTCCGATTGGAGAACACAGAAAGATCTTCAGAGCAAATCGACGACTTGGAGATCCCGAAATTCGAGAGCCGATTCTCGGAATAAAAGGAGAAACCCGTGCTCTCCGTGTTTGAAAACTCATTTTCCTCAGCGTAAACCGGTCCGTCCGAGGCGTTGGAATTGATAAAACCGGTGGAGGATTCAATATCGGAGATGGAATCGGCGAGTCTATTTTCTAACGGTGCAAACTTAAATTTTAAAACACTCTTATCCGCGCACTGCAAACTTCCATTTTTCGTGATCGAATCCGTACTACAATTCGAGGGCACTTTTTTCCTGCGGTCGAAAAGTTGGAAATCGGAGTGAATGCTGACAGCATCATCGGAGGCGTTTAAAATCGAAGTTGGACTTTCGGAATTAACATCCCCTTCAGCAATGTTTTCTTTCTTTTGCAATATTTGATTCCCGAAATAAGTTTCACTCTCGGTTAGCAGATAAGAGCCACTTTTTGTGGATGCACTAGAACTTAACTCAGAGCTTTCTGTCGTCACGTCAGAGCTTTGATTGTCGTCGAGGTTCAGCTCCACGTTGATGATGAGCCTTGGACAATCCTCGGAAGACGACACATCAGCTTGATATTTATCTTCAATATCGGAGGAAAAAAGAAGATCGCGTTCGAGGCTTCCCACATGCCGATTACCAGAGGCTAACAGGGTTTCATCAAAAGCTTTCGGATGTCTGACCACTGGCTCCAGGCTTTTATCGAGTTCAATGTTTTGATCTTTGAGGCGACTGTCAAAAGAGCTTTTCACCTCTGAATCTGCGTCCAACGCAGAGTTGATGTCATCGATGCTGTAATAAAAATCGGTTTCATTTCCTAAAAGGTTTTCGTCCACGATACTTCCATCTTTAGGTTTGGAATTTTCAAAATCATCGCAGGGGCTTTTGCTCCCGCTGAAACTTATCACCAGTTCTTTGACTTGGGGTGTAGCGACTTTACCTCTGTCAGGACTCACGACTAAGTTCATGTTAGTTTTGCAATGATCGGGCGAAGTCTGATTGCAGAATCGACTTAAATCAATTTCGTAGATCATCTGATCTGCGTTTTGCCTATCTGCAACTTTACCAACTCTCAAACTGTTTCGTCGCTCCAGTTGTTTATTTTTCGATAGTTCATGACACTGCGCGATGAGCTTTTGAACTGTGAGTCCTATTTCATCCAAAAGCTGTGGCTCTATTGATTCTACAGAATTAGCTCTGTCGATTGATTCATCCTTTTGACTATGGTGCGAATAATTGATTGCGTTTGGAGCGAAAGTTGACTCGTCCAGGCTGTGACTTCGATTTTCTAAAGTTTTGTCTTTCAAGTTGGATAAACAGTCATAGAGTTCATTGTAATAGCTCAAAGGTCTTTTTGGAACGGGATTTGTTTTGGATGTCGGCTGATAAGTGTTTGGATTGCTTTCAAAAAGGGAATTTAGCTCTTCGTCATCAAGTGCAATGCCCATTCTTTTAGGGCACCGTTTTTTATACATGCCATAAAGACTCATTTTTTCCGGCTAAAACGATTGCTCGGACGGTAATAATTCTAACTAAGAAATACAGCGTATGCAACGAAAACTAATATCATAAATAATAAAAGGACTCTGGAGGTGGCACTACTATGAACAAAAAACACTTGCGAAGTAGAGACAATGCATGGATTTAGAAGGCTTGTTTCTCAGAGACACATTGAGGAAATATTTTGCATAGATCCAAGAGAAGAGTTTCTTCCCCCTGAAAGATGCCATTTGTTTTGCTGATAATTTGGTTTGAATCAAAATAAATTGTGCAGAAGCCAAACATTGCACGGAGGCAAATGCAACTTCCTCCGGAATAATTCAAATAAGTGAAAAAATCAGTTGATCCTTTGCCGACGTTGAACAGATGTCGTGGAAAACGAAATCGTCAAAAATCACTTTATTCCCGAGGTTCACTTTCACTGCGTTCGAAAGTTACAATCACATTTTCCGAGCAGTTAGGGTGGGCGGGGTTCTCAGTTCATGCCTCACGATTGGCGGGGCAAAACCAGTTTATGCAATGACCTTTTTCCACTCACCTCAGTGAAAAAAAATCAAAAAAAAAATCACAGGTGTGGTTTCCATCACATTTTCGGTCGACAATAAGCACAAAATGTAAAAAGTATAGAAATTAAACCGCAAAGATCACTCTTTAATCCATCCGTAGGGCGAACACAAGAAATCGCACAAGTCAAATTAGAAATTAACACCTTGATGCACTTGAAATATCACTACAGTAATTACTGCACATAAATGATAAGAGGTAATCAATCGGGCTCAAAGTCCAGTACAGAACAGTGGTGACCAGTCATGGCTGGGTGGGAAAAATTACTGAACAACTGGACGCGCATTGAAGGCAGGAAATAGAATCCATACTTGGTTGCCAAATTTTGCAAAGTACTTGGGACTTGAAAAATGTGGCTGATGTATACCGTAACTCCATAAGGCAAATGATTTGATCCAGCCCGACTAAAACTGTTGAAATAATTTGTTTTATTTGTTTATTTCTGAGGGGAGGGAGGGGAGATGAAAATCAGAAAACACATGCTGTTGTGTTCAATCAGACAAATACTGGTAAAGAAGGATGGCAGAGATGACAATGATGTCATAGTGGAAACGGACCAGCTGTATCAGTGAAAGCATGCACATTGCTGCCAAAAAGTACTCTAATTCCAAACTTTTACAAGGAAGGATCAAAATGGAAGTTCAATGGTACTTATAGGTTCTTTTAGGATGATAGTGATTGCTCGAAACATAATGATGAGATTTAAGACTCAAGAGATCTGAACAGAGAAAAACTGGCTCTTATTTGATTCAATTTCAAATTTTAGAATTTTATTTTCGCAGCTAAGAGCTTTTCCCCTCAACGACCAAGAGAGAAAAAATAATATTAATACCTAAACTAAAGAGAGTAGAGTAATATGCGTAACATGATTGCTCAAAATTAAACACCCCCTCTCCCCACTTACAATTGTTACATGTTTAAAACCCGCGGCGCTATTCTCGCCAGATTTTTAGTTTTGTTCTTTCCTTGAAGGAGGGACACAGGCTGTTTTCGAGGAATAAAGTGTTTTCGGAGGGGCGCGAAACTTAGGAAATTTCAAATCCAAAAATTGACTCATGAAGGCCAAAATTCCAAAACAGGGCTGCCCTGTCGCCCTCCGGCCATCCAGAATTGTGCCCATTAAATCATACTTGTCTCGGCGTTTCGAATTGTATTAGTCAAAACTGATTGTATTCAGGGTGTCTAGTTCTTTTCCATTTTGGAAAATTCTGATTTTTCCTGATTTTTGACTGCTAAATCCTGATTTTTTGCGGACAAAAATTAAAATTTCTGCATAAACGTATGCGAAAGAAGAACTCTAGGATTTCGGACGGCCGACTTTTTTCGAATTCTGATTTTACGACCGATTTTTCCTCAAACCCTAATAGAACGGCATTCCATCTTGATTGACCTCAAATCCGGATAGAATTGGGAAAATCCTGATGCTAGACCCCTGGATTGTACTGTTGATAACTGAAGTAATGTAAAGTCAAACCTGACATCGTGTGAACGGTGCGCGGAGTGGAATTTTGCAAGATTTCTCTATCTTTTTTTCCGAGGCTGTTTTGAGAGGAATTGGAAAAAAAGAGACCCGTTATTTTCGTAGTACTTCTACTTGGCGACGACCTCTCGTTCGAAAATCGGGAATTTCGAAATTTCAGATAAAATTGGACAACGTGGGGGACTCGGGCCTATGACTGATGAGTAAGCAAGGGGGCTGACCAATTAAAAGCACTTGAGATCAGCGTGTTCCGAGGCGGCCAGGGCGGCCCGGGCAGGACCCAGATGAGGCGCGATACCAGGGCAGCTGCACAGGAAGCCTCATCCATAACTCCTTGAGAATCAATTAATTAATGGAGGCATTCCTGCCCCCCCCCCTCCCCCCCGGGGGAGCACGGGAGCCCATCGATTTGCTCTCGATGTCTGTATCGGTGTTTTCAGCCCAACCGCTGAGTCAAGTGACGGTTATTGCCCGAGCCTGGATCGATTCACTTTTTTGCCGAACTAGAAGCAGGTATGGTTTAGAGTACCTGTATAGCGAGAGTATGGACAGATGTGAAACTCCGAAAGTCCATCAGGCCTTCACCGATGCTTCTGCGAATAAAGTTAGGGCCCAGAAATGCAGCCAACCTATGAATTTCAATTATCCAGAACGATTTACTAATACTATTGTTACGAACCGTCGTTTATTAAGCACGTGTTTGACTCAGTTTTTGGATAAATTTACTCAATTTTGCGGAAGAACGCTCATTTATGTACATTCTTGGCCATCTTGGTTAGAATTGGAACCTGCAGACTGGCAGTGAAATTTTGTGCGTTAGAAGTTGGTTAGAAGGGTGGCTGCACTTTTGGGCCCTAAGCCCTCCATGAAGCGATCTGTCCATACTCTCGCTATACAGGTACTCTAGTATGGTTCGAATCGGGCGGGTGCCACCGAGGGGAATGTTCTCGTGCTGAATGATGAACGCCGTGTGAACATTCGAGAGTTGCCAAATTGCCCGGGATAAAACATATCTTTTTGAGAACGATTAAGCGTACTTTTCCTTGACATTTTCAAACATTTTAGACGAAATTGCGAACAAAATTGTGTGAAAAAGTTGAAGAAAGAGATCCCCGATTTTCCCAGTAAATTAAAGTTTTATTGAAGGAAATGTGGCAACGTCTGAATGTTCATACGGTGTTCTTCCTTGGCACGGTAGGATGCTCTCGTGCTGAATGATAAACGCCGTATGAACATTCGAGAGTTGCCAAATTGCCAGAGATAAAACATGTATTTTTCAGAACGATTATGCGTATTAATCCTTGAAATTTTCAGACATTCTAGACGAAATTGCGAACAAAATTGACCGAAAAAATTGAAGAAAGAGATCCCCGATTTTTCCGGTAAATTAGGGTTTTATTGAAGGAAATGTGGCAACGTCTGAATGTTCATACGGTGTTCTTCCTTGGCACGGTAGGATGCTCTCGTGCTGAATGATAAACGCCGTACGAACATTCAAACGTTGCCAAATTTCATCGGATTCAATATTGATTTCCTGGGAAATTTGCGGACATTGCCGTCTTAACTTTTTACAGGATATTACTTGCACTTTAATCTAGCGTATGCAGACAATGCGAAAAAAAAGTACCCAGAACTTTTTCAGAATTAAATAATTTGAGGGGATATTTGGCAACATTCAAATGTTAATAATACGTTTTGCACGGCAAGAGGTCTTGTCGAAGGTCGCCAATTAGGCTTAAAAAAACAACAACATCGCGAAATTGGGCGAAAATTAGTGGGGGCAGCTGCACGTTGAGGGAAGGACTTGAGTTGAAAAACTGGGAACTTTGTTCGGCATCTCTCTTCGTTTCTCCTCTCTAGTAGGTAACTTATTCTCCTTTGCTCTTCTTTGTTTCTATGCTTCCTTTCCTTCCTGCTTTCTCATCCTATGTTTTTTGTTTTCTTTGTTCTCCTTCTCCTTCTTCCTGTAATATATCGTCCCTTTTCCTTCTCCTACCTCTCCATTTCACCCCGTATCTTTCTATGCCTTCTTCATACTTCTTGTTTTTGGTCCTTTCCCAGGATAAAGAACATAACTACATTTCAACTCTGCAAAATTTCCACTCGTAATTTGAATTTGACTAAAAAATTGTGGAAAGTTTCTAACCGATGACTAAAGTGATTAATCCACTTATTCCACGCACAAATCAGCAGAATTTTGATAAAGAATTGCCGATTTAAATTTTCGCGAAGGATTGAGTTGTTCGTGTCTTTTTTTCGAATCTAAGGATGGAATTATTTTCCTCTGTACCTATGGGAGATGACGTTTCAATCCATTTCATTTTAATCCGTTTCCAACTTTTCACTTATCCTTCTTTTATAGTTTTTCTTTCCCCCTTCCTCCTCTTCATCTTACTACTTCGTAATCATCTTCTCTTTCTGCTTTTCTAATTTTTTCTCATTTCAAGACTCGAGTCTGAAGACCGATATCTGGACCACATTTAGCAGAGAGGCACCAAGTCACTTCAGCTATTGCCAAATTCGATTAGGGAATTTAATTTTTTACGAGAGAACATTCGTGCGGATTCCTCCGAAAATTTTAAGGAATTTGCTTGGTAACATACTGAAAATTCTCTGAAATTTGCACTTAAATCCGCACAATCGTTTTCCTTTTTAAAATCTATAACACACAATTTTTGGCAATAGCTGATGTGGCTTGGTCAGGGTGTCTACTAAAACACGCTGGCTAAAAATCAGTACTTTAACGGTGCTTTTTCAGCACATTCCCAAAAAAATTCAGTACCTTCTCGACAGAAAATTTCAATACCTCAAATTGACGAAATTCAAAAAACTTCAAAAATTTGAATTTCTCGCTTAAATTGCGACAAAAATGAAAAAAATTCCGGACTTTCATGCAGAATTTCCGCACTTTTCAGTACTTCCGGACCGCCCTTAAAAAATCTGCACTATTTCCGGACTTTCCGGAAATACCGGACTTGTAGACACCCTGGGCTTGGTTCTTCTTTGCTTAACCAGGGTGTCTAGTATTTTTTAATTTTGAAAAATCCTGATATTTTCCTGATTCTTCCTGATATTTTATAAAGAATTCCTGATTTTTTCATTTTGAAAATTCCTGATATTTTTCTGATTTTTCCCGACTCTTGGCACGGTAGGCAAAAAGCAGTAAGATTTTCTTCGCTGATGAGATTCGCGTAAGAAAAATTCCTGATAAAACGTCCAATTTTTCTGATATTTTCCTGATTTCTTCCTGATCGACCAAAATTCCTGATATTTTCCGGTTTCTCCTGATGCTAGACACCCTGTTAACGCGGTCCATCTATGAGACAAGGGTTGAAAATAAATTTGTCTGACATTGAATAAATTAGGGGTACTCACCCTGGCTCCGGTGACGGCGTTGACGTAGCAGGGGAGACCGGTGTCCTTGTCGATGTGGGCGGACCAGCCGGTGGGCACAGACAGGAGCTCCACGCTGGACGTCGTCGGCGATTCGTCTACTTCCGCCAGAGGACTAGAACTTCCCGAATATATGTTCCCTGAGCTTCCGTCCCGCGAGTCTTCCTGAAAAAACCAAACAAAACCTCGTAAAACATCAGAAAATACTCCCAATGGACCGATAGACAGGATCGGTAATCAACCTGGAAAAAAACCACATTGGATCTAGAGTCCAGACTCTTGAAAACATTGACAAGAAAAAATAATCTTGATTCGATCAGATTTTTGCTTAAATCAAAAGGAAATCCGCTCAAATTAAGAGGCTTGGATCTTGATTTAAGCAAAAATCCGATTGAATCAAGAGTATTTTTTCTTGTCGATGTTTTTAAAATGGATTCCCTTTTGATTCAAGCAAAAAATTCGATTGAAACAGGGTCGGGGTCGGCGATCAACCTCCACTGGAAAAAGAAGTCCCTTGGGTCTAGAGAGTCCAGACTCTTAAAATATTTAACAAGAAAAAATACTTTTGATTCAATGGGATATTTGCTTGAATCGCGAGCCAAGCCTCTTCATTTCAGTGGATCTCCTTTTGATTCAAGCAAAATTTCGATTGAATCAGGGTTGCCATAAAATTTAGAAAAATAAAGTCTCTAACATTTCCCTGATTTCCCTGACCCAATCGGGTGAAATTTCTGACAATCGAAGATATGTATATTGCCAAAAATACGTAATTTGAAACAGTTTCCAAGCAAAATTTGTTGTTCTAAACGTGAAATCCCATTCCAGAAAGCTAATAAAGGTAATTTTAAAAAAAATCCGCGGCACTTTCGTCATTTTCACTGACATTGCCAGGTTTTCCCTNATATTTTCGTGATCTACGACCCGTGATCGATGCTCTTCACAAGGTCTCGGGTCTGGGTCCGACATCATGGGAGAATGCAATAGTGTATTTCCTTCGGAAAATACACTAAAAAACAGCTAGAGTATGAAATATTAGTACAACTTTGAAACCTTTTATTTTAGGATAAAATAAAAGTAAACAAAATTAGAGGGTTCTTTTGATTGTATGATCTTTCCCTGTGGGAAGATGCATAGAAATTGTTTACATTATTCTTTCCTTTTGAGGATTTTGCACTCCGTTGTTGCTCATTTTGAGCGGCATTGCAATGTTCTCGGTTTCTTTATTCAGAAAATAGTCCACACTTCGCTTGGTTAACCTTTATCCATGGAAAATATGGTAGTTACGGAGTCTAAAAGTTAGGTACAAATGGAAAAATTCCTTGACTTCCAGCTAAATTTCCCAATATTTCCTGGTTTTCTAAAAATTCTTCGACGCTGGAAAAAAGTCTCGTTTAAACAATTGGACAAGAAAAAATACTCTTGATTAAATCGGATTTTTTTTTAAATCGAGAGCCAAACCTCTTAATTTAAGTGAATTTCTTTTTGATTCAAGCGTAATTCCGATTGATCTAATCGAATCAAGAGTATTTTTTCTTGTCAAGTTTATTGGACTCAGGATCCAATACAGGGTTATTAAGCTTCCATCGCTTTGCTAAGGCGCAGGGATACAACTATTTGAACTCTCCGGAACGCGTGAGCTATCACGCCTCACTTGAAGGCGTTTTCTAATCTACTGTATTTACATGACGAGATTTTTCAAATTGTTTTGCATTACATTGTTGATTTGAGTTCCTTTTATTATTTAGTTCAATTACTCCTGCATCTTAATTTTCAGTTATTCTGCAAAAATTATCTATTTCCGAAATACAAGCCTGGCTTTATTGCCCATAAACTATGGCCTTACCGGTCGAAACTGCAGTAGCGGCACAGGAAAACCGAAAAACCAAGCAGTGACATAACTTCAATATTAAGCTTCCATTGTCTTGCGACGGCGCAGGGATACAACTATTTGAACTCTCCGGAACGCGTGAGGTATCACGCCTCACTTGAAGGCGTTTTCTAATCTTCTGTATTTACATGACGAGATTTTCCAAATTGTTTTGCATTATATTGTTGATTTGAGTTCCTTTTATTATTGAGTTAAATTACTCAAGCTTCTTAATCTATAATTATTCTGCGAAAATTATCTATTTCCGAAGTACAAGCCTGGCTTTAGCGCTCTTAAACTACGGCCTTACCGGTTCGAAACTGCAGTAGCGGCACAGGAAAACCGAAGAACCAAGCGGGGACGCTACTTCAATATTGCCATAGAATTTAGAAAATAAAATTCCCTGACATTTCCCTGATTCCCCTGACACATTTCGGTGATACTCCCTGGCAATTGAAGATAGGACGGTTGGTTAAGAAGTCATAATTGAAAATAGTTTTTAGGCAAAAGTTGTTGTTCGAACCCTGAAACCCATTCTAGAAAGCAGATGAAGGTGATTTAACAAATTTTCCCTGACATTTTCGTCCTTTTCTCCGACATTTCCCGGTTTTCCCTGACTTTTAAAATTATCTGACATTTCCCGGTATTCCCTAACTGTGGCAACCCTGCCAATAGGCTTTTTTGTGGACTCCGAGGTTTTCTAGGTTATCCCTGACATTTGCCACCTTGAGGGCGAATTAAATGGGGGCGGGACTCACATTGTCGGTGTTATATCTGCGCCTGGGGGGTTTCCAGCTGCTCTCGCCGGAGCGGGAGTTGTGGTAGAAGGTCCGGCCGTCGGCGGTCAAGTACTCTGCCCAGCCGCCGAGGAGTTCCCGCACGGGCTCCTGCTCGGCCAGCACCGTCGGCGGCGAGATCGACGACAGCGGGAACCGCAGTCGACACGACTCCACCTGCAACACCACAAAAACATCCACCTTAAACTCATGCTCCTCCTACATAGAGATAGAGTACCTATATTGAGAGAGTATGGCCACTGGGCCCCATGGAGAGGCTTAGGACCCAAAAATGGCGGTGCTTTGTTTGGGTTTTTGTGGATGGGAGGGGGGTCATTGCCAACTTTTGACGGTTATCACCAACCGCACTTGCTGCCAACCTTACTACATCTACGATAATTTTTCTCAAAAATTGCACACGATTAGCCTTAAAAATATGTAAAGAACACGGAAAAAACAAGACTAGTGTTGAGCACTACTGGCCGTTTAGTGGGGAGTAGTTGAGGGCTGGCGTCTAAGCGCTGTACAGCTCAACACCGGAAGGCAGTACAGGTGGGCACTGAACATGAGTAGTGCTAATCAGATGCCGCGAGACGTAGTTGCGCTTAACAGGTGTAAATTCACCGATTAGACGTCGGAGCTACCATAGCCTGGTGGTAACGCGCTGGTCTTCCACCGGCGCAATCCGAGTTCGATCCCAGGCAGAGGCGTTTCATATTTTACGCTCGCTCCAAAGTCACTTTAGGGCTTGACACTACTTCTTCCTTAGTGACCCAGCCTCAAGCTGTTTAGTGCCCAGCACTCCTCTGACTTGGTGGCTCCATTTGACCTAACCCTCGTTAGTGTCCAGCACTAACATGTAGGGCCCAACCCTAAGCTCGTTTTTTCCGTGAAGTCGCAATAGTGCATTTGGGTAAATTTCTCGTTACGATAAGCAAAGAAAACTACATTTTGAGTCCTTTTGCATTACATAAATTTATGGCGTCCGCCATTTTTGGGTCCTAAGGGCTCCATTCAGCCTAAGATGGCTGAGCCAATCAGAGGTGGTAACACTAGTGGCCATACGGCATACTCTCTCAATATAGGTACTCTACATAGAGAGTATAAACACTCGGTCCCGAGGAGACCTTCAGGATCAGGGACAAGAGACCCTCCACTAGTCGGCCGTGCTAAGGAAGAACGCCGCATGAGCTTTCAGACGTTGCCAAGTTTCCTCCGATAAAAACCGAATTTATTGGGAAAATTGTGAATATCATTTTCCAAAATTTTCAGACTTTCAAGGGGTGTTTCTGGAAGAAAGTTCACGAGAATACCAATGAAATCACTTTTAGAACTTCACAGTTTTGAATAAACGGAGATTTAAAACGTTTAAAGCTTCCGAATTTTGTCCAACCTCTCCTACTGACTCGATCCATTCTGCGCCGAATTTCTATCTAAACGGCTCGGGCGCCAACCGCAATCAGTTTGTAACTCCTAGGGGGATGGATAACGACGTGAATAATTTTTTACTCTGTGGATTTTTCCATTTTTCAGTTATTTTCAGGACAAATAAAGCCTCTGTGCCTCCAGTGACATAGTGAGCACACTTCTCCTGAATATTTTTTTCTCATCTTCTGCTAAGATGCAGTTTTCCTGAGAAACGTGCGACGTGCTAAATGTAAAAACGGGCAAATTCTACGAACTCCCGGTCTTGCTGTAGCGCACAGTGGATTGAGACAATTAGGGAGGTCGGACATCAAATTTTTGACTGGAAATGCAAATTTTGATGTTTTTTTTCGTCACATTTCAAATTTAAAGAGATGCTTCTAGCAGAAAATTTCACGAGGAAATCGATGAGCCCACTTGGAACCTCAAAGTTTTGTATAAACGGAGTTATGACGTTTTAAGTTTCCAAATTTTGTCCGGCCTGTCCCATTGACTCGATCCACTGTGTGGCGCTGACAATCGGTCGAAAATTCTCGCACGGCGCATGACAAAACTCACATCGTCGAGGACGAAAACTGCGACGGATAAGATTGAGCACGATTTAAGTGCTATCCGGTCGAAGACGAAGGTATAGAGGGCGAGTCAAGTTGGTCTCCGGAAGGAGAGGGGTGTAAATGTGACAAAATCGGGACAAGTGCCGACAAACCGTTTGCCGTATTGAGATACAAATACGTCATTTTTTACAGAAAAAGGGGGTATTTCGTACGAGGTGCGCTCTTCAATTTACTCAATCAGCTAACATACTTCAGGCAGTCCGCAGATGGACTGGATATGCAGTAAAAGCTCGCTAAGTCAACCTCGATTATAACTAATTGTAAGTGAGGTAGAAAGGAACCAATCCAGATCAGGTTACAAACACAGGGAAAAAATCTTCCTCAAAAATGAACATTTTATCGACGGAAATTTGGCAACTCTCGAATGGTAATAAGCGAATTTTCGCGATAGAATATCACTCACCAGTGAATGATATTCAACGATTGTGCATTTTTTTTAATATGATATTCGACTTCTTCGTTGGTCTCACCGGAAACCGTTGAAATCAATCAATTTGAAATTTCGAAATCACCTCGGGACTTGAATCAACTTGAATTTGATTTTTCAATTGATGCAATCGATGTCAGAAACTTCATCTTTCACCAGATTTTTTGTTTCGTCACTTCTTTCTGTTCTTGTGTTTTGTCGATTCAAGTCTGCTGTGTTTAAATTTGCTGCGTTTCAGTGTTTCGTATGTTCGTATTTTCTTCTTACTTTCATTAAAAAAAAAAATCTGAACTCTGATTGGCTCCTGCTTCCACCGATCATCGGCATCTCTCAGCAATCATCAATTCGTTTGATGAATGATATTCGATCGCGAAAATTCGCTTTATGCGGCGTTCTTTCCTTAGCACGGCAAAGTCGGTCTGCGGTGAACCACAGCCGAAGAACTCCTGAGGTGTTGACGCTAAAACAATGTAAAAATTGATGGCGTGATGAATGCAAATAACTTGATACGAGGCCAAAACTTACTTGCGGTAAACTAGCTATGGAGACCCGCACTAACATTATCCAGCGAGTGGTTGGTGAGCGTTATCGCGTTATCACGCGGATTTTATCGCGCTATTTACATATTTCGCTCCAAAAACTAAAATTCCGATCAACTGCAGTCTGGATCGCGGCGAAAAATTTCAATTGTTAAAATTTTTTGGTCGCGGAGTGTTATGTAGGTTGGTGATGAATCATAGACACTTGAAACAGTGGCGAGGCGTGAATGGTCGATTATCGACATTTCCCCACTTGAAGCTATGGTAACGAATCGATTATCAAGGTGTTCATTGCGAACGACCCATTAATCGATCCTTTTCCATAGGTATAAATGGTGGATTAATCGATAAATCGCGAGGCACGCCACACCACTGATAGACACACAAACGGAGTTGGATTTCTCTCCATCTTACATCGCACACGCGAAAAGCTAAGTCCACAAGAATTCACATACCATATTGATCAGTGGCGTGGCGTGCTTTGCGATGTATCTATTGTTACGCCATTTAAACCTATGGAAAAGGATCGATGAATAGGGTGTTCGCAGCGAACACCTTAATAATCGATTCTTTACCGTACATTTAAAAGGCATAACAATCGATACATTGCAATTCACGCCATGCCACTGATATTGATTGCTCAAGTGCGAAACCACGTGACTCCATTGCGGTATATCAACATCTCTGCTCCTATTTTATTTTTCCGAAGAGAAACGGTTCAACTAAACTTAAAGCTTGACATTCCTACGGAATATGCTGCTAATAGAGAACATAAATCGAAGAAGCTTTCGAGAGATTAAGTTGACTAGTCTTCCAATGAAAAAATAAAGTATATCAGGAAATCTGCAACGTCGCAAACGGAGATACGTGGTTTCGTACTTTGGCCATCGATGTTATGATGAAGGTGTCGACATGAGTTGGATAAACTTGGCAATGGGGAACTAAATACTATTTCTGGCTCATTGTAGAAACAACTTACATGTGTTCAGAAAGAACGCATGTGCCATTAGTTTCCCAACGCACGTAAGTGTTTTTGCGGGTGAGCCAGAGATTGTAGTTCTAATTATTGCGAAATGTAGTCGAATTATATTGCTATTGGTACCCTCAAATGGACTACATTTTGCAATTTGGAACTATAACTTCTAGCCCGCGGTTTAAAAACAAGGTATGTGCCATTAGTTTCCCTATGCACATAAGTGTTTTTCCAGAGGAGCCAGAATTTATGGTTCCAAATTGCAAAATGCAGTCCAAATTTTCAGGACATCTTTGTTGAATTATACTTACAAAAGATAGCCTCAGATTTGCCGCTACCCATGTCCTATTCTATGAAGCTTTTATCGTTTGCTGAAACTTTAAAAACCCGACAAAACTAGTAAGCATTCAGTTTTAAATTGACGCTGAACTCCGCAACTTTTCACGCATTCTAGACGCGGACGATTTTTGAACGGTGAAATATGATATTTTTCGCTTACTTCGAAAAAATCTGATAAAAATTCAGATAAAAATCGTTACGATCAGGTAATCCGCTGGCAATCGTGTTGACCGTTGGGCGGACAGTGTTACCGTGTCACGAAAAACAGCGGTAAGTATCGAACGGATATCGGCGTGAACCCCGAGGCTCACAGGATACGCTCCATCTGAGGCCCCAGGCGGGATGTACTTACTGCTGTCTTCCACAACACGGCAGAGCGGGGGCAAGCACTGCTTCCTGAGTAAGGTTGCCATGTCGTGCGCTTAAATGTGCGTACTATCCACGGTTTCAGTCATGAAAAGTTCTGAGTTTTCAGCACCATCTGGCAACAATGTTCCCGGGTGCGGGCGCGGTCCTGCTAAAAACGTGATTTGCGTTGACAACGATTTATCACGCTTGATGCATCGTTGCGTTGCTCTTTCGCTTTTCTAGCTTTCATTTCCATCGAGTCCATCGCTTCCGACGGAACATTGCCTTTCCTCTAAACCCACACTGAATACAATAGACCAGTAATGCGTGTCGTAAAATTGTATTATCGTGATTGAAAGTAAAGGATTTGCAAAACTTGTATGCGAGGCTTTTTCCGATACTTTAGAGATAGATTCTTCGGGGCTGTTAAATTATAAAGCGTTATTAGCGTATCTCCGACGAAATACATGAATATTTTATTGAGAGAATTAAGTACAATAGAAAGGACTTAG